CTAGGAGACACTCCGTGGCCGCAGCCTGCACATTCCAGGAGCAAGGCTGTGGGTCCCTGTAATCTCCCTGGGGTGTTAGCGTCAGTGCCTAGACATTGTGAAGCCCCCCGAGCCCAATATTACTCAGACATCCACTGGGTGAGCTTGCTGGTGTTCAAGGCAGAGATTTAATAAATTATGGGATGGGAGAAAAAAATATACAGGCACTGGGGTGCAGGAAAACCACGGATTCGGGAAGACTGATTTGGCTTCTGAAGGGAGAGACAGGAAGAGTTCCGCCTGCCGTCGCTGCTGGGCCCACAGAATTCCAGAGCCTGGTTCCTCCCACCTTGCATGCAGCTGAGGCAGCGGCCTCCAGCCTCCTCCTGCCGCAGGGAGCCGGGGAGCCCAGCTCCCTCTCTCCCCTCCGAGGAATCCAGACCCCGGACTGAACGACAGCCCGCTGCCGCTCTCCCCGAGGCCCGAGGAAGAAGGCTGCCAGCCCCTCTCCCTGCAGGCCGCGGAGTGCGGGACCCTGCCTTCTGCTCTGCAGGCCCCAGGAACAGGGCTGAGGCGGGGTGCGGGCGGGGCTCGAGCTGGAGCCCCCTCTCGGAGGGCCCCTGGGAGCGCCTAGATGGCGGATATGTTCTCGTAGAGCAAGTTCGCGTAGGTGTTCCCGACCGCCTGCGTGCCTGACTCTCGCAGAAACCACAGGATGCACTGGTGCAGGAAGACGTACTGGGCCTGGGGGCGGGGCGTGTGAGGGGCCACCCCGCCTCGCCCCCCCCCACGCCCCGGGATGCCCTCACCTCCGTCTGCACCATCAGCGGCCGGCTCCCCCTCATCTTCCTCAGGTAGTTGAAGGGCCCCACGAGGCCCTCACACTCCAGCTGCCGCAGAAGGACGTCCAGGGCGATGAGGGTGCCGGTGCGCCCCACACCAGCACTAGCAGGAATAGGCGGGGTCAGGCTGTGGGAGGGGCGGGGGCGCCCGTCCTTCTCGGGCCACACAGTATGGGGGCTCGCTCCACAAGCGCACGGCCCGGCTGAGCCCCCTGAGCACAGGCCCCGGCTGCCGGGCAAGGGTCAGGGTGCGTCATGGTCAGTAGGGCCAGTCCTATAAGGACTCGGCCCCCCCACCGCCACTGGTTGGCAGCCAGGCGGCCAGCCCGCTGCAGGCCACTAGCAGCAACTGGAGGGGATCAACAGTCAACATGGGTTTTCCATCGGGGGTCTCAGCCCTCCGGACCCCGCGCTGCTCAAGGAGAAGCGTGAGAGCAAGCGGCCAAGCCTGGCTGGCGTCTGCGGGTGGCCCGGGCCTTGGCTCCGTCCCCCCAGGCCGAGGGCAAGTTCCCGGGGACTTTGGGGGGCAGAGGCCCAGGCAGCCAGGTCCCGCATCCTGGCTCCCTTCCTGCTGGCCTGGTCCAGGTCGCACAAGCGACTCCTCCGTCCAGCGGAGTCAGCCGCACGCAGGGGGTGGGAGGGCGGGAAGGTGCCTGGCCAGGCCGCTGGGCGACGGGGCGGCCGTGGCCGTTTGTAAAGGCCGCCAAGTCGGCCTTCCAAAGCCAAGGTCTTGGCTTCCCGTGCGCCGCGGGGTCCAGCACCAGCCTCCCTGGCCGCTCCAGAGGTTCCCACGGCCAGCGGCCATGGCCCCCGCCCCGGCAACCCCACCCGACTCGGCTCAGGGGAGCCCCACTGGGCGGGCGGGCATCTCGGGCGGGC